TGGCAGGCGGGTGGTCTGAGGCCAGTCTTAGCTCTGTGTCCTTAGCAAGACACAGCCTCTGGGGGGTCTTTCATATATGTCTGGAACCAACCCCTCCCCATAAGCTCACATGTACCTCCATCCCTCATTCCACTTCTACCTCCCTCCCCTCTTACCATTGGACTTTGCCTCCAGGGGTTCCAGGTCCTCTGGATCAGTGGATTGAACACAGCCACAAGCTCAAGGTTGGAGTTGGAAATCATGATCTGCCTGTGGAGCTTGGGCAGTTTAGTGGGAGGAGGCCTTCTCCAGCCATTCCTTGGCTTTGGTTCCCCAGAGTCCCACCCCTACAGGTGGCCACACTCACTTTGAGCCTGCTCTGGCCCTCAGTGGTGGACAGCTGCTCCCTGATGTCCTCAGTTGAGTTCTGCAATAACAGTGACCAACAGCCAGTCTGGAGGCCTCAAGCCATGCCCAGCCCTAATTGCTGCTGCTTCTACCCATTGGATCTTCTGCTCTCTGAATTAGGCCCAGTCCTGTGTCTACATAGACCTCCACATAGGGGAAATGAGGTTCACTTCCAGGCCTCAGGATAAATCTTGGGCAGACAGTGCTGCCAAGTATTTCTCAACAGAAATACTTCAGGCCAGAAGGGATTGGCATGAAATATTCAAAGTGATAAAAAGCAAGAACTTGCAATCAAGACTACTCAGCAAGGCTATCCTTTAAAATGGAAGGAGAAATAAAGAGCTTACCAGATAAGAAAAAGGCTAAAGGAGTTCATTACTACCCAACCAGTCTTGAAGAAGGGGGAGGAGGAGGACGATGACGACGATGACTAAGAGGAGGAGGAGGAGGAGAGGAAGGAAAGAAGGAAGGACAGAAGGAAGGAAGGAAGGAAACCCACCAGTCTTGAAGAAGGGGGAGGAGGAGGACTACGACGACGATGACTACGAGGAGGAGGAGGAGGAGGAGGGAAGGAAGGAAGGAAGGAAGGAAGGAAGGAAGGAAGGAAGGAAGGAAGGAAGGAAGGAAAGGAGGGCGGAAGGGAGGGA